GCTATAATCTGGTCAGATTTACACACATTGAGCTACAATTGGTGTGATAGTAGCTGACAGTCATCTCTAATTATATTCACAAAATCGTACAAAAATGTGACGTACAAGGTTTAACCAAAACCTTCGTCTCTTTTCATCAAAATATATTTTTTGTTTAAAACAAATTGTTCATGATGAAGAAACATGTTTCTCTCAGTTATTAGTTTTAACCCCTGACCTGTATTCAAGTGGCTTTGTGTTTTAATACAGAATAATGTACAAATAAACTTTCAACATATTGAAGATGAGACAGAACTGTTCTCTTCTGCACAGCAGAAACGTGCACAGAAATTCTGGATTGTTGGAGCGAAGTTACGCCTGCGTAGTCGAGGAAGCGAGCCAGCTCAGCAATGGTGCTCAGACTAAAACAGATTTTGGGTGTGTGGATTTGGAAATGTTTGGAAGGAGGATTGAGACACTTGCTTGCACGTAGGCAGACTGTAATCCATGTCTGGTAACCTGAATTTGTGTAAGACAAAGATCCTGCACTGGTTTCAACACCAAGACCCACATCCACAGATTCTGGTTAAATCTGGTGCTGAATTATTTCTCCTGGCTCGTCAGAATCCGACATTTGCTCGGACAAAAATCCTTTGCCCAACTAGGATTCCAAGATTTTTGGTCAACATTCTGCCATTTACAATTTGGAGTCAATTCTGTCCATCTGTTAGTAAAATATCTCAAGAACCACCAGACAGATTTTGATTAAACTTTCAGGAAAGGAAAAAGTATGTTCAATCATCCGGGTAAATAAATCACAAAAAGATTAAATCAGGTCATCTGGACAGTTTCTTTTTGGAAGAAACATTTAGTCTTTCATCCAAAAGACTTTATCAATCTGGGGCCTGCCAACAGGATCTGTCTTATTAAATAGCACCTTATTGATGTGCTTCAAACCAGTTTGCTGTGGAGTTCCCAGAAACAGGCTTTACGCATGCAAAATGGAGGACCATAAATCTAAACAGGGCTATTCAAATGGCGGCCTGGGGGCCAAACCAGGCCCACGGGTGTGCTCAGTTCGGACCGCCATTGGATTCAATTTAAATAAAACTCAATTTTAAATCATAAAACAACCTTACTTAAGAATAACTGCTTGATGTCTGGCCCCTGAACTCTTGGCTTTCAGTAACTGTGGCCTCCTGAGCATTTCAGTTGAATAGTCCTGTTCTAAAACAATCATTAGTGCATAATGATTGTGGCATGGAGGCTGCACAACTGCAGAAAGAAAAGCATTGCAGAGAGTGGTGAAGGCTGCACAGAAGATGTTGGAGTCAACCTCCCCACCATCACAGAGATCTACACCTCCAGATGCAGGAAGAGGGCCACCTGCATCATGAATGACCCCACTCACCCAGCACATACACTTTTTGCCCCACTCCCCTCAGGAAGGAGGTTGAAGAGCATTAAGTGTAGAACCACTAGACTGAGGAACAGCTTCTACCCTGAGGCTGTTACTCATGAATCTCTAACCAGATTAATCACTGTGAAAAATCGCATCATGTTGCTGCTGATCTGTTTCATGTTGCTGCTGATCTGTTTCATGTTGCTGTGTTCATGCGTGCACATCGGCTCACACAGACTCATGTTCGTGCTGCTGTTCGGCGTATTGTTTTTATGCTATTGGTGCTTAACGTATTTTTAGTTGATGTTTTTCTTAGTTCATATCTTAGATCTTATTTCTGTTTTTCTTTTACTTTTTATTGTTGGAAATAACTGGGACCCTGTACACAATTTCATTCCACCACATGTATCACATGTCGTGCAAATGACAATAAAGAAATTCTGACTCTGATGTCAATCAAATGTTATAGGCAAAATGGTTGCTTACTACTATTACAAATGATACCGGTAGATTTTTTTAAACTGATGGTCCTCCTTTTTTGCATGTGTAAAGCCAGTTTCAGCAAACTGGTTTGAAACACGTCAATAAGGCGCTGTTTAATATGCCAGACCCTGTTGGCAGGCCTCAGACTGATGAAGTCTTTCGGATGAAAGATGAAACGTTTCTTCCAAAAAGAAACTGTCCAGATGACTTTCATGGATTAATCATTGGGTGTACAACAGGGCCAACCTAATTCAAGATGGCTGCTACACACAACTAACCTTAGAAAACACAAAAATGTCTATAATTAGTCAATTTTACAGCTATTGAACTAACATTTGTTGTAGTAGTAGCTGAGACTAATACACAACATACTTAGAGTGTGAGATGGAGCATAATGTAACTTTCCAGGTTGGACCAGAACAGCTACAGCTTTGTCATTTCTTTACCCAAGATCATTTCAGTCTACAACATGAAAGGCGATGAGCGGTACGCAGTCCATCAAGAACTTGTGTTCATCATGGAGTTCACTGAACGAAGAAGCTGCTAAACGTCACTCACTGTCATTTATGGTGACAGCAGTGCAGTCACCCTGCTGTAAGGAGGAAAGGAAATGAGACAGGAAGCGTGGCAATGGAAATAACAGCTCGAGCATAGAAGCAGCACATTCAAGTACATTGTTGTGTAATAATCAAAACCATAAATAATCTCAAGTAATGTCTCACAGCTGCAAGTTAAATAACTCTTAGGTGTGTTAGCAGAAGAGAACTATCAAGTTGAGCTTAATGCATGAAGACATGTTAAAATAGTTTGTTTAATCTAATTTTAGGATTTTAAAAACGCCCTGTTTTATGCTTTCAACACGTGGAGGGTCCAGTTTTTGTGTTGTGGGAGCAGAATACTTTCAGATGCTGGGGTTGACAATACATCATGGTATTTTTTTCTCAGCTTCTGTGAACACTTTTCACCTGAACCTCCTGGGTCGGATCAGGTTTCCATCAAAACAGCATCATGAATGAGCGTCTTGCTGGTCTGGAGTCTGTGTAGTCAGTCACCCACAAACACGGTGACACATACTTTATGGGAAGTTGGCAATTTCATAATAAATCTATATAAAACAATAAAAAAGAATGTCTTAGCAGCAAGGACAGTGAAGGGAAGTGTTACTCATCAACCACCACCCCTGTTTGACTGTCTCTAATCTATTCTCTTGACATAAATTTGTTTTATCAGGAGGAAAAAGGCAGGCACTCCTCACTGAGAAGCTAAAACAGTGAAATGTTGGGCTCCAAAATGCTGGATAATTAACTTACAGTGGTTCTCCTCAGCTAAACCTTGATGTTTTACTTTTTTAAAAGCAGCCATCAGTAAATAAACAGATGGTTTTGCTGTAAAAATGTGAAAATGATGTAAATGCATGTCAAACAATGAGCTAAAGAAACATATATCCACACTTACCTGATCAGCTGTTGTTTATGACAGCAGGGTGTGAGGATGTTTGTGGCTTCTCTGTTCTGCGATTTAAACTGAAATGCTGATGTGGTTGTAAAATAATTAAAAAAAAAGAATAGAGGAAGTGTTCAGCTAAAAAGAGGCAGGTCTGACTCAAATCCAGCCTATTTGGAGTCAGAGAAGTCAGCATTTAGATGGTACCAGCCCCTAATTACACAGACACAGTATTAAAACATGACTTGGATATTGTCTATCATGGTGCACTAAGATTCATAACTGGCTGTGATTATCGTACCCATCACTGCACCCTGTATTCACTGGTTAACTGGACATCCTTAACTTCACGCAGACTCTCCCACTGGTACATTTTCATCTTTGAATCACTTATTGGTCTGCTGCCTTCATACATCTTCTCCTACATGTGTAGGAATGCTCACATGTGTGTGAGTGCAGCTACAGCGTGCACTCTCAGGACATTATTACCTGCAGTGTTCCCTCAGTGAGGACTGAACTAGGCAAAAGGGCCTTCTCCTAATCCTCTCGTTTCCTGGAATATCTTGCAAAAAGATCTGAGGCTCTCGACCTTGACCTCTCTAAGTGGCCTTAAGCATCTGTTGGACTCCTGGCAAGAGCCAGTGCAGACATGTTCCTGTTTTTAGTTTTATACATTTGCCTTATAATCTAGTTGTTTTTTGCTACTTTGTTTTGCCATCTTATTTTAATTTGTAAAAAAAAAATTAAAATCTGTATGCCTCTTTTATAATTGTCTATTGTTGTTGCTGTTGTCCATTGTTGTCATCATTCTTTGTTGAAATCAGGTCTCTCTTGTAAATAAGTCCTCGAGGCTCAATGGGATTAACCTGTATAAATAAAGGTTGAATGAATTTAACCGTGGTGCCTTTATGTGTAGTCTGAAATATAATTTTTCAGAGTTTTCTTCAATACATTCTTACTAATTATAAAACATTTTTGATTGATTTTTGAATTAGTATTGTTAAAATAAGAACTAACTTTTTGAGGTGGGATTTAAAAAAACTGGCAACCTGACACCGTTTTTTTTAAACTACATTTATTATGTTCCTTGAGGTATCCAGCTGAATGTTTTATCAGACTTCGCGATAGACGGAAGAGGTAGGCTATATAACGATTTTTAAAAGTGTCTTTAATACATATTTAGTCGAGTCAAACAGTATAAACATATTTTGAAACATGTTTTCACGTAAAATAAAATAAAAATGCTACAAATGCAAAGTAGAAATGTTTTATGAACTACATTTTCTAAAAACGACGATTTCAGAAAGTTACTTTGTTTTTCCTAATTTAATTCAAATCAACTGTAGTTTACTAAAATCAAAGTGTTTAAAGACTCTTATTTAAGATATTTACTTTTTTTATTATTTAAATTCCACCATCTTGCTGGTCCCAAAAAGTCTAACATTTCCGTTGGTACCTGAATGCAACATCGTTGCATGTTCACGTGCGCTTTAATACTCCTTTTGAAATACGTGCTTTAATATATTGCAATAATATCCCAACAAAGGAGTAAACTGTTGTCAAAACCGCAGTCGAATCACATTTTTTGTTATTTTTTTTAATTGGTTTATTTCAGAATTAAAGCTGACCAGACGCAAACGTGTACTTTTTGGGACTTGTGGGCTTCCGTAGATGCGGAAGTCGTTTCACAGTTGAGCATCAGGGCCCGGCGTGACATTCACCGGGGTGTCATTTGAGTTTTAGCAGCAGGGATCCAGCCTGAACTCCACCGAGCTGCTACCAGAATGAGAGTACTGAAAGCGGGTTTGTGTTTGACCAAGACGCACCTTTTAGCTCCAGGAAGCGTCACGCTCAAAAAGGTAAACTCGACTTATCTCATCGTGGTGTCTACATGTAATTGGTCAAACCCAGGCTTTGAATGTGTCTCTTTGTCATATAGGTGCTCATTAACAGCTGTCGGACGTGCTCTTCCGGTGTCTTCCCCAATGAAAGAATCCGTAACATCGGTATCTCCGCTCACATCGACTCGGGGAAGACCACCCTGACCGAGAGGGTCCTCTTCTACACGGGCAGGATAACTGAGATACACGAGGTGAACATCTGGATGGGCTTATGTGTCTGTTGAGTTTATGCTCCCAGGTGAGGTCATGTCATGACCCTCTGGTTCCTCTTGTCTGTGGTGAGTAGGTGAAGGGGAAGGATGGTGTTGGAGCCACCATGGACTCCATGGAGCTGGAGAGGCAGAGAGGCATCACCATCCAGTCAGCAGCTACATACACCATGTGGAAGGACCACAACATCAACATCATCGACACACCAGGTGCTGGAGCCGCACCGATCTGAGCGATTAGGGCTCTATTACTTTGGCTTACTTGACAACAAAAGGCTCCAAAACAAAACATTTCCCCTACACGCTGACGCTCCGAGCAAACACATTTAACTGAAGAAGCTGCGTTTTCACTGAGAACGCAGTGTGAACGCCAAGAGCTGAATGAATATGCTGAAGAGGCTGTAACCGAGGCGTTAAAGCCAAAAGAAGCAGAATGGTAGCTAAAAGCTAAAAAAGTAAAAGATATGTTAGATATTTATCTAGACTGGTCCTGGGGTTTTTGATCTGCTCAGAGACGGGATAATAATTAAATTATGACCCGGTTCTGAGCAGCTCAAAACCCCCAGGACCAGTCTAGATAAATATCTAACGGATAGAATGGTAAATATGATTGCCAAAATGAGCAAAAAGCCAACTAAAAGTAGCAACGATCAGCTAAAACCTGAAAATCATCAAATCACTTTGGAAAAAGAGCTTAACTGTAGCCAAAAGTTACATGAACAGAGGCTAGTGAAAATGAGCAAAAATCTAGCTAAAATTTGTAAAAGCTTGTTAAACGCTTAAAGTAGCAAAACAGTAGCTAAAAGGCAAATGTAGCAAAGTGCTAGCCAAAAGTTGAAACAACAAAAACTGGCTAAAAGCAAAAAGGAACAAAAAAACTAGCTAAAAGTAGCAACAGCTAGCCAAAAGTGTAAAACAGCAAAACGTTAGCTAAAAGAGCCAAACTGTATCTAAAAGCTTTAAACCAGAACACTCGCTAATAGGCAAACACAATAAACTGGCTAAAAAAAAGCTTAACCACTTACTAAAACCTAAAAGTTGCAAAAGGTTAGCTAAAAGATAAATGTAGTGAAAAGTTATCTAAAAGTAGAAAAAGTCTAGCTAAAAGATAAAAGTAGCTTTTGAAGACAAAAATAGAGTAAGTTTGAAGCTGAATTTTTTAAAATATAAAATAATTCTGATGGAAGTAAAGTCAACTCAATATATTTTTGCGAAGAAAATATTTGTAAGTAAAGTTGTTTTGCAAGAAATTTAGAAAAAGATAAAAAGAGGAAGACAGTCGTGTGCATCATGTCTCGGTGATCACAGATCTTTAAAGGATGTCTTGACACAAACATAATATTAAAATGCTGCCATTACGCTTGTTTACAGCACAAAGCTCTACACTCAGACTGAAAAGGTTTTTTTTTATATAATCGACAGATTCTTTAAACTCCTGTAATTGTGGAACCAAACATCCAAACCAGGCTGTGTGTTTGATGTTCCTGAACTATGTTCGGAACCATTTATTGACCAAGCAAGTTAAATATTGTGCAAACATGTCTTTGCTGAAGGGGAAAGGGATGTGACATGGACCAGCCACTCACCAGTCACTGCTAAAACACTAATATACCAGCTGCCATTCACACTAGAGCTTCTAAGATCAGCGTGTTGGGAAATGATGGAGTTGTAGCTGATTCGGTCAAACCATGAAAAGATGGATCAAACTTTAGCTCTCTTTGTGAAAGTGACAGATTTCGAGTTGGCCAACGCCTGCTACCGTTGACTAAGAAACCGGGCTGCTGGTTGTCTCTCAGGTCACGTGGATTTTACCATCGAGGTGGAGCGAGCGCTGCGTGTGCTGGACGGGGCCGTGCTGGTGCTGTGCGCAGTGGGAGGCGTCCAGTGTCAGACCTTGACCGTGAACAGACAGATGAAGCGCTACAACGTGCCCTTCCTCACCTTTATAAACAAGCTGGACCGACAGGGCGCCAACCCGGGCCGAGCCCTGCAGAACTTGAGGTGCGGTTTATTTGTGCTCGCTCACACTCGCGCATTCTGTTCGGCGACACAGAGGGGGTCCAGGTGTACTTCCTGTACATCCGTAAACATGTCAGACATGTGTGCAACTACAAGTGTCTCATTAATGCAACCAGAATGTTTACAAACAACTTTTAAGGTAAGAATTAGAGCTGGGCGATATTGACCAAAATTAATATCTCGATATTTTAAGATAAATCGCGATGTACGATATATATCTCAATATTTTTTTCTTCCCATAAAGTAATAACAAAAATGTATTTCTGATTCGAAGCTTTGTCCCAGTTGTCACGCGGCACATTTATTCACAACAGCTGTAACTGTACAAAATAAATGTCTAAAAAGTAAAGTATTTGCATATATTAAAGTTTGTTTTTTTAGACATTTATTTACATATATAAGTACAAGTTGTGCTTGTGCTAACAAAAATATATTTCTTACTCTGACTCAGAATAATGTTGTCTTTCAATCTGTTCGCAACGTGGATTAAATTCTGAGTTTCTTTCAGTTCTTTAAGCAATTAAACCAAATGGCTTTAAAGAACAGAAAGGGAAAGGAGTGGTAAACCAGATTCAGATTAGTGCTGATTCAGCCCCTTGTAAGTTTTTTTATTTATTTTATTTTTTTACCTTTTTGTTTTCCAGATCCAAACTGAACCACAACACGGCGTTTGTGAACATCCCAATCGGCCTGGAGGGGAACATGCGTGGCATCATCGATCTTATAGAAGAGCGGAGCATTTATTTCGACGGACCGTTTGGGTGAGAAACCCTGAGGATGCTGTACATTCATTTGATGCTGACACAAAACGAAACATCTGTTGCAGCCAAATCTGACGTTTCTTCCTCCCTGTAGTCAAAACATCCGCTACGATGAGATCCCGGCAGATTTTCGTGCTGAAGCTGCAGATCGAAAGCAGGAACTGGTGGAGTGCGTCTCTAATGCGGATGAAGCTTTGGGTGAGATGTTCCTGGAGGAGAAAATTCCTACCAAAGAAGAACTAAAGGTTTGTGTCATCAGTGGGGGGAAAACAGCCAGTCATGCGTGACACATACACAAAAACAAATTACCAAACGCTTGCCTAATTCTTGTAAATTTGTGTTTTATCACTTTAAAGTCCATGTGTGAGAAATATTCTGATGTTTAACGGGAGTATATTTAATATTTTCACTGGTTTAGTTGTGAAAATAGGTTTTAAATGATGCACAAACTCAATATACACAAGAGGTTAAGCTCATTTTTGTTCAATAGCATGTATACAGGAATAAGATGTTTTGGCCTATGAATATTGCTAAAATAAAACACGTTTTTAGAATAGCTGTATTGAAAAGCATAAATATTTGCAGATTAGTTCAAGCATTTTTACTCTAAACCAGTAATGCAGCACAACACTGAGGTTAAAAGTGTTTGCTGGGGTGGTTTTAATCAATTTAAAAGCCATTCTGATGCAACAATCTGCATGTAAAAGAAGACATGTCCAAACTATTCTAAGTTATTGAGGACTGCCTAGTATAAGGCAGCACCTATTATTATCCACCTGACAAGGGTTTCTTAACTTTATATCTTACTGTTCAATCAACTTTAATGCGGCCCGAACCGTAAAGTGTACCCCTGCAAATGTTAGATCAAAACGACCGTCGCGGCGCCGTGATGTGTGTTATTACTTTTCTTGGCGTTTCGAGTTACCATGGCGACGTAATTTGCAAACAAGTACGCCATTTTCCCCATACAAAACGCCTGATGGGACACTTGTCACCAAGCTACATTTAAATGGCTTTAATTCAGCTATTTTTACACATATTTTATACATACTGAATCCAAATCGAAAATCCAATATGGCCACCTTAGCTAAATGGAAAAAATGACTATAACGTTGACTTTTTTTTTTTTTTTTTTTTTTGCCATATTGAGCAGAAATTTGGTATAGTGGTAGCTGAGAGCGAACCCCAACATAGTATTGTCAAATCAAAACTTTAAATTGGCAGCAGCCTGGTAATCCCCGTTAATGTTTCTCCAGGAACTTTTCTAGTTCTGCTATAAAATTCATAAGCCTCTCTATATACAGTATATAAATTATATTTTTTTCCAAAATGGTACAATTTCTCAACAGTGTTTCCTTGTGAATAAATTGTGAGTTTATGTGATTGCGTTCTGTTTTTATTTACATTTTACACAACATATGAATAAAAAGTCATTTAATCAACACACCTCATGTGGTGCCTGAATAAAACCGGTCCGTCCCGGTCTCTTCTCGTCTCGCTGTCCTCCAGGCCGCGATCCGCAGAGCCACGTTGAAGCGCCTCTTCACCCCGGTGCTGGTCGGCACAGCATTGAAGAACAAGGGCGTCCAGCCTTTGTTGGACGCCATCGTGGATTACCTGCCGAACCCGAGCGAGGTCAAGAATTACGCCATCTTCAATGACGAGTGGGTGTTCAATTTTCTTCACATTTTTCTGTTCAAGTCGGCACGAAGCTCACAGCCATCTGCAGTTTATTGCGTCCCAGCAGTCTTTTACAACAAGCACTGGTACTGCACGAAACTAAAGATGCATTGTGCAGCTCTAGTTGTTAGTTTGCGGCCTCGAAAGCAACTTTGAATAAACATGAAATTTAGTTTCCTGTCATGTGAAATTCTCAATTTTGTGGCTTTTCTTGTGTAACAGAAGTTCATCTAAATCCTCAACAATTGAAATGGACTCCACGAGAGATTCTACAAACCCCTTCCTTGGTCTGGCCTTTAAACTGGAGGTACGTTACTCTGAAATACAGACAGGTTTATTTGCACACCTCTGTTAAAGAAAGGAAAATCCACAAAGGTCACTGACATAACTTCATACTAACAAAAGTAATGGTAAGAAATATAAAAAAAACTTGTGAAAATCAGTCGGCGCTTTTACATTTTGGTAAAAACTAATGAAACTGGCTTGACTAAAGGACTGTACACTCATTTTAATATTTTCTTTTGGTCCACTCCAGTCGTCTCCAGACTGCATGTTTCAGCTTCACAGATGTTCAGCAGGATTTGGATCAGGACCCTTTGCCATACTTGGACGTTTTTAATTGTGTGTTTTGGGTCATTATTTCATTGGAGGACTCATGACCTGCTCTCTGATGCTGGGCAGCATATTTCTCTCCAGGATGCCTTGATAGTCTTGAGATTTCGTTGTACCCTCCAGATGCAGCAGCGCAGCCTCAGAACAGAGCCGAGCCTCCTCCATGTTTCACTGTAGGTACAGCGTTCTTCTCTGTTTCTCTTCTGGGTCTGGGGATGTAAAGCTGACGGTCCCTTGCTCGGAAGTCCTCGTGGGCCGACTAACAGCTCTCAGGTTCACCGATGGGTCCGGGGGGGTCCAGTTCTGCTCCAGTTCCGTGCTGCTCTCTGAATCCGCTGGGCGCCGATGTCACTGTAAAGGGCCGAACTTTTTCGGATCAGATCAAATCTTTCCCTCTACGAATTTCAGCAGAAGGCACTGTTGGCTTCTGGGAAATGTAGTCCTTGTGAGCGGGAATACAGTGTAGGCTTATTGAGAGAAAACTACAAAATGGCACCGTCTGTCTGAAGTATTTTATTTTTTCATTAACTTTTTACAGTACAGTATCCAGTACGGTCCCAATCGTGTGAGTTCACTGCAAATCTTTTTGGAAACTGTTCTGGGCTCTTTGGTTTCCAACTCTTCAGTTTGTCATCACTTTTCCTCTTGCAGCCATGTTCAGGGAGGTTGTCTTCAGTCCCGTGGACCTGGTGAATAATCTGTGCAGCTGGAGTCACAGGAGCATCAAGCTGCTTGGAGATGGTCTTATAGCATTTACCTTCAACATGATGTCTGTTATTTTCTCTTCAAGCTTCTGTAGCAACTCTGTGCTCCTGGTTCCACACTGTGATACCAAACAGCACAGTGACTACCAGTCACCCATTAAAAAGCAGCCTGACTGAGTACAAGCCTGAAGACAGCTGAGAGGCTGGTACCAGGTCCCACCTTAGTCCCTAACAGCTCCCTACAATTATGTTCCATCTTTTCTACCATCCTTTTTGTTCAGGCCAATTTTATCCATTGAAAATTCTGTTGAACCAAAACTCAAAAAGCAACAAATGTGTTTCTTTAGTTGATTTTCAATCAATTTTCTTCCTTTTGCTTTGATTATTCAAGTGGGATTTTTCTGTCTTTAACAAAAGGCACCATTAAGTTTGTCTATATCTGTAGATTGTTTTGTTTCTTCATTGCTTCCGCACTTGACGTAAGAGCAAGATAATAATCTGTGGTGCTTTGCTGTCGTTTGTGTTTTTTCCTGTGAACAGGCTGGCAAGTTTGGTCAGCTGACGTACATTCGAGTGTATCAGGGCTGCCTGAAGAAAGGAGAATACATCTACAACACGCGCACAAGAAAGAAAGTCCGAGTTCAGAGGCTTGTGCGTCTCCATGCTGATCAGATGGAGGTGAGAAGCCTGTCGGAGGTCACGGTTTTTCCATCTGTGGTTTGTAGATTAAAAACCTGCAGAGAAGCATGACTGGTCAGAACGGTGGAGTTCCTCTTGTGGTGTTAGTCGAGAGTGCAGATAAGAACATGTAAAAAAAAACATGTTTCCATTAGTTTTGTGTTGCACAACACGTGGTGTGTGTTCATTTCAGTCAGATACAATCCTGTTTTTTTCAGGATGTGCATGAGGTCTATGCAGGAGATATCTGTGCGCTGTTTGGGATCGACTGCGCGAGCGGAGACACTTTTTCATCCAAGACGAGCACAGACCTCTCCATGGTGGGTAACTTAAACATCTCAAGTCAACACAAAGCAGGAAACCTGTTTGCTTTTTCTAAAATTTCAAATATACAAGCAGATTTTATATTTGTCTTTGTTCTTGTCATTTCTGTCCCCCAGGAGTCCATTCACGTCCCAGATCCGGTTATTTCCATGGCCATGAAACCAGCCAATAAAGTAAAATGCTTTATATTCAGTACCTCTCAAAACTACTTTAACGTCATCCTTTAGTCTTCTCTAATGCCTTCTTTTGTTCGACCAGAATGACATGGACAAATTTTCCAAAGGACTTAACCGTTTCACCAGAGAGGATCCCACGTTCAGAGTACACTACGACATCGAGAGCAAAGAAACCATCATCTCTGGCATGGGAGAGCTGCACCTAGAAATCTACTCCCAGGTAGTGGACGGTGTGCAAGAAGAAACTCTTTAAAATGGTTTATTATCTAAATTGAATGTGTGAAAGATTTGCTGAGATGTGGTGTTGTAGTAGTTCTTTTAATAGCTGAACTAAGGCCCTGTTTACACATGAACAACCTCTGGAAACGTTAGCTTTTTTCCCTATTTTGGTAGCGGAAAAGTTGCTCGGTAAAGCTGTTTTGTAGAATCCTCTGTAGTTTCCATGCCGGCCACTAGGTGGCGCTGTCATTTTTGTATTTCAACAACAAGCTCAAACACTTTGGATTCAAGCGTGAAAACAGTTACTGGTACATCCAAAATAGTGAATACATGGATGTTTATTTGTGTTGCTCCTATACGTTGAAAGGGGGGGATCAGCACAAACAGCACTCTTCTATCCGCCGTTGTTACTGTTGTTCACGTACTCGCACAAACGCAGAGAATCCATTGACTGCAGCCGGCCAAAGCGAACAATTTCACACCGATGCTTGGCATTTCTCCGAAAACTTCCACTCGGAGACCTGACTGCAAGAGCTTCGGTGTCTGAATAAACCACCACTGTTGTTGCGCAAGAACGGACGAAACGCAGCAGATATGCTACGGTTTCATTCACGAACGGCATCAAGTAAGCAGGGCACCAAGAAACGGGAGTCAGCGAACAGCGAGCTCCATTGATGTTAAGCGATCATTTCAAATTAGTGAAGAAAACCAGTAGGCGTTTGCTGGGAAGGTAATTATTGACAAACAGGTGCGCTGATTACTAACGTATTATAAGCAAAACTGGAACCAAGATCTGTGGATGACTTCTAATATGACTCATTTGACAAAACATGAAACAAAGCAAAGGAAACCAAAACAAAGATTAAAATTAAACCAAACAATTAATGGCTTCGTTGCCAGTTACCAAGTAAAACAATCTGTTTTTCTTTGAAGAGGAAAATCGTGGTAACCCTGAAAGCTTTGTATTCAGTTTGTGTTGCAGATCCACATGCCACTGAGCTCTGTCTGACCCGTTTTTATGCATTTCCTTAAAGTAGATGCGCAACAAAGTCAGGAACATTTTGAAAATGTAGAACACCTGAACTTGCCGTATGTTCCTGTGGATTTGTTTGACTTGTTCTGCCCTGATTTGTTGGTTCAGAGGATGGAGAGGGAATACGGCTGTCCCTGTGTAATGGGGAAACCCAAAGTGGCCTTCAGGGAAAGCATCACCAATCCTGTACCGTAAGTCTGCTTCACCACACACACACAAAACACAGTTTGTTTTTCTGTTTATTGTGTTGAATATAAACCAAGCTTTGATCTTTTGAACAGCTCAGGTTGTGAGACTGTTCAGTGTCACCCTGAACTTGTCTCTGATGCAATATTTAACAATAAGTCGTGAAGGCGGTTCTTAATTAGCAGCACATTAGTTTGGGTTGGGTTGGTTTTAACAATGGGGGCAGCGAGGCTGCTGCTCCATCTGCAGCACTTTAACGCCCTCTGCAGGACTCCAGGTGAACAGCAGCTTCCATCGAGGGATTTCCTGCAACAAAAATACCACATTATTAAAACTTCAATTATCTTTAAAGCCTTACGCTGCATAATTACGCACGTGCCTGGAGTAAGAGTATTATCTGATAATCCCATCATTTAGAAAAATGGTTGGCTTTTTATCATATAAATAGTGAAATCGTTATATTTAGACTTTTGTAAACTTATTAAAAAAAAAAAATAATAATTTACCCTTTATTTATACAGGTAGTCTCATTGAGTCACGAGAACTCATTTTCAAGAGAGACCTGTTTTTGGGAGCAGGTGGTGGGGGTTAAAGGCCTTGCTCAGGGGCCCAGGGTGGGGTGACTGTTGGTGGAGGCAGGTGTGGGTGTTTCACCTTTTCCGCCCACATTTTGATGTTGACGGTGCTGGGGGTTGAGTCTGCGACTTTCCGATCACAGGTCCATCTTCTCTAACCTCTGCGCCACCACTCGCTCATATTAAAATATGTTGCGTAACAGCATTTGTTCGCTCACGTTGCCAGCCATTCAGTAATTTATTGAATCTTTAATGTTTCTTTAGCATAAAAACTGTGCTGCACAAATTAAATGTTACCTGAGAAATCATTTCATGCAGCAGGATGAGGCTGTCAAACTTCAGCTGCTCGTTCTCAGTCGGCTGCAAAAGACAAGGCGCAAAATAAATAAAGCAAAAGGAGTTTGTTGACACAAAAATCACAGATTTGCTCCTCAGCTGGTTTGCTGTTTCTTTCCTATTTGGTGGGAAGAAGCTGACCTTGCTGTGACAGAATGTGTGGGACGGTAATTTCATGCAGTTTGAGGTAGGTTGATGCTTCACGTGAAGAAAAAAAAAAATATATATATATATATATACACACACACACACACGCACATTTTTATTATTATTTTTTACAGCACTACCCTGACACAATCACGTGTTCACCGCAGTACAAAATACACAAGAACAGTGTTTCGACATTGCGCTTTCGGCTAACACAAATCAACTCTTACGCTGTTATCAGGCTGCACAAATTAAATGTGTGACGGCAGATAGAGTCCACCTACCAGCTGCGTGATGCGGCCCACCTGAGCCATGTTGTACAGGGTGTTTTCTGTGGATTCACTCAGCATGATGAAGCTGGAGGCCACAGTGCAAAGGTGCCAGAAAGGTTTCATGGCAGGATCCATGTTACCCTGGCTATCTGAAAGACGTTCACGCAGACTTTTTGACACTTTGTTGGATTTATGAGCCATAATCCACAGTATTTCTATTCGCTGGACCTACCAGGTAAATATTGCACAGACAGCAGGGGTTCCTTCGTCTTGTACTGCTGGTAGAGGGCCTCTTCTTCAGCTTTAGTGTCGATCTTGAGGAGCTCCTTCAGCGAGGACACCTGGACTTGGGGCGATTGCTGCTTTTGTCCCCTCGGAAAGAAAACCTGTGCAGAGCATTCCTCTGTCTTCTGGATAAGTTTAAGAGGCGCGTTGTTAAAAAAAGAAGACAGAAACACAAAGAGAAAGACGGCTGTAAAAAGCAACATAGGAGCAAACAAAGTAAATGTTGCTGCGACAAGAGACAAGTTTTACAACACGATTAGTGATCTAAGATAAATGTGGTGCAGACCTGGTTAGACCTGCTCCTTCTAAAGCCAGAGATCTGCTGTTTAAACCACAGAGGATTTATCTTCTAACAATAACAAATCATTTCAAAAGGATCCTACGTCAGTGATGATCTCTTGCACTGTTAATGCCAGCTGGTATCTTCTTCCAGAGTCTCCGACCTCCTATAAAATGTAAAGTTAAGTCTTAATTTGTGCAATTGCGGCGTTGAAAAGATTTTGCCACGCTCGAGTCAGACTGACCTCTACACTCGCGCTGTGGACAGTCTGCAGACTGAACAGCTTGTAGGGGGATCCGTAGCGGGTGTTCAGGTAGAGTTGCACCACATGGGCAGCCCTCCGAGCTTCATAATAGTTGGGGTTCAGCTGACGTACTGCCATCACACCATCAGGCTTCGCTGTGACTGCTGAGTTCTGTGCACAGAGACAAAGGGAGGGAAATCAGAACAAAAGCATCTGGTGCTTTAAGGACTTTGACCCTCAGGTTTCAGCTGGGTGGAGCTGATTTCTTCATGTGAAACAGAGCAACGTGGACAGCAGAGCAAATATCTCACAACAGGATGATAAATGTGTAAAAAAAAAAAGGGGGGGGGGGTAAACTGAATAGCATCTTGCCTGTGCTGCAGTGCTCTTGGCAGGCTGAATGTTTCCAGCGTTCAGTCCTTCAACTCAACTCATGTCAGTGGAAACTTCCTGCTTCCTGAGACGGCTCACAGGGCTACGCCTTTTTAAAGAGACAGAACACTGTTCCTGTTTCCCCATGTTCTTTGTACTTGAAGTAATGGATCTTTGAGGTGTGGCTCTATGGAAAAGTTATCAATAGCTTACCTGTTGTAGATAGCTTTTTGAACGGTCTCTGTTTTTGAGAAACACTTTATTTCTGACCAGACTGATGAGCTAAAGGCTAGTCCAAGACCAGAATGATGAGCTAAAGGCTAGTCCAAGTGGAGCCAAGACCAAGTTTGATGCCACCTTTAAACCCGTCTAGTCAAACATTTGATAACGGTTATATTAAAGCTACTTTTTAAACCTTTAAATTGCTGTTTAATGTCACAATTTGTACTTTTCTCCTGCAGTAATATTTTTATATTCCTACCTGAAGTTCCAAGGTTTCACCAGAAGTGCTACAGCTAGCTGCTGCTAGCTTGTACTTTTTTTTAGTACTTCTAAATAACAAAATGAGTTAAACACTAGATAAAAGCAGCAAAATGATACTTTACAGTAACAAAAAAGGTTGAATCATGTCATCTGGACTTCGTTTTTTTGTTAAAAAGAAACGTTTCGCCCCTCATCCAAGAGGCTTCGTCGGTCTGAGGCCTAGCCATCTGGTATTACCCAGAAGCCACCCTGACTCTTGTGTTCCAAGCCTGCCTCAGATACCCCTGAAGTCTGGCCTTTTCACTAATGGTTTCAAAAACACAAAGTTTGTTTTCTCAGTCATCCAGGTATATAATAACAAAAAAGGTTGAATCATGACATCTGGACTTCGTTTTTTTGTTAAAAAGAAACTTTACAGTGTTTCCCCTAGATAACTTACCATGGCGGGGCGCTCATCTCGTCCGTGATTTTTGTCGGGGGGGGGGGGTAAAACGGACGGAGACACGTCCTGAGCTGCTTATACTGACAGCTTTAGAGCGGGGGGAGACGGACACATCTGAGCCATGCGCTGTTTGTACCAACAGTTTTTGAGGGGGGTGTTCAGTATGAGGGAAGAGGCTGCCTTTAGCGTTTTAGCTTGCACACATGTATTGCGAGCCACTAGCGTAGCGTTACGTCAGTGCCGACAGGTGGGTGGGTGGGTGGGTGGGTGGGGGTTTGCGCGTGGTTCGGTGGACGGGCTGCTCTGTTGACGGGGCGGCGCGCCCCGCTTGTATAATGGAAGGGAAAACACTGCTTTAGTTTTTTGCTACAGTTAGCTTTAGTCGAAAGTGGCAAAAGGCTAGCTGTAAGCTAAAGAAGGTAAAACACTAGCTAAAAGCTAAAAAGACGAGCTCAGAGCAGCTAAAAGTAGCTAATTTGTAGCTAAAAGTAACTAATCTTAACTAAATGGTAAAAGTAGCAAAAAGCTAGCTTAAAGTAGCTGAATGGTAGCTACATCCATCCTTCCATTTTCTTGACATGCTTTTTCTTTTCGGGTTGTGGGGAGCTGGTGCTCATCTCCAGCAGTCACTGTGTGAGAGACAAGGAGACGGGTCACAGGTCTATCACAGGGACACAGCGAGACAAACCACCACTCAGACTCTCACCCACACCTAGGGACAATTTAGAGTTACCAGTTAATCTGGTTTGTGAGAGGAAACCAGAATACCCGGTGGAAACCCGCTTGCAGACTGTGTCCAGAAAGGCTGAGAGGCAAACCTTCGGCATTCTCGCTGTGAGGAGACCGCTCTAACCACTTCTCCATTGTGTCTCCCTCACAGTTGTTACAGTGCCTATAAAAAGTTTGTTTAAAAAAAAAAAATGTTTTCACTTGGACAATACAGAGGTTTTTTATTTATTTATTTATTAATATATATTGTAAAAATTATATTAACCATGACTGATTTACGACAACATTAAAAGCCTAAAACGTTCAAGGGAGTGAATAGTTTTTTCAGATACTGTAAAAACTAAAAGCATCGGTAGTAAAAGGCTGGTTAAAAACAGCATAAGAAGACAAAAATGGAGCAAATATGTGGGAGATGATTTTTATGAAAACAATGTTTTGAAGAAATTGAGATTTCAATGTATTTCTGTAGGGGCATTTTTTTTTATAAAATACTTGTATATTTTTATAAAAACCTAAAGTCAAAGCGGTAAAACAGGTAAGCTGTTATTTGTTCATACCCTTTCCACTGAACCTCACTTAATAAGATCTGAACTCTCCCTCAGACATTCATCATACTGTTAAACAAAGAGTTTAAAATTTTTGTTCCTATTTAGTCCCAAATATATTCACATTGTACTACTTCCTCCAGTACCAAAGGTTCTTTAACTTTTTCAAAACCAACAAAGTCCATGCTCAATAATCCAGGTATACAGTCCA